GTTAAGTCATCGACGCACAACGATTTGGTTATTTTGAATGGTTTTGGTCCATGTACGAAACATTATTCAAATAAATACATATGCGGTTATTACTAGACATTCGAGATGCAAAAACAACATTCTTTGGTGTGATTATATCGGTACCACATCAATTCATCGTAACAAATTCGTCGCACGACAATTGATCGCAAACAACTGATCGCAGCATGAATTGGTTCCAACGACAACAAACTGATCGCTGACGAAAATTAATAGATGAATGATGGGATTTTTATGAGATTTTTATTAAGAGGGAACAGAGGGAACATAAAATGAAATACTAATTTCTCAAAAATTTCATTAATTTTAAACGTGTGTTCAAATCGTAACAAAATTAATGTACCACATTGTGCATACTTTTATTATTTAATGCGGAAGTTAAAATCACAATAATCTTACAATAAAAATGTAATAAAACAAATAGGACAATAACTATATTAAGTTTGGAAATAAATGTTGAAAATGTACTTCTTTGGTCTTTTATCAATTATATCTTCAAACGATCATTAGAGATTTGTTCTTTTTATTAAATTCGATTTTGATACCAACAAATTCATATTTAGTTAAAAAGTGATAATAACTCAATATGATTTTTTTGCTACGAAATATAATAAATTTTATTTTAAATGACATTGTGTTAATAGAAAAACCTTCATCAAAATGGCCTGGTATTTTTTCAACAAACCTGTTACTTAACTAATAAGCAGGCTTCGACATCACGGACGTGATGCTCATTGCCGTCCGATTTCCAGCATAATGACCACGTTTTCTGCTACAACGTCGGGAATTCCTAATAATAATTACTATTTTTTCTAGGTTTTCCATAATTATACGTGTTCCCTTAGATGTTAAAATGGCTTTAAAAATTAAAAATAACTGTTCGATATCACAATTTTCATGATGATCTATCTTGATCATATAAACACTGAACTGAATAAAATGCCACTGACTTTGAGACTGTAGAGTCGCACAGCCAAATTTATCGCTTGACCGCGCGCCGTCGTATTTAATAATATTTGTCTGATTGATTCCCCATGACTTCGGCTTTGCTTAACTCTGTCAACAACAAATAAACGTTTTTAATTAGATGTTTATGTATTACCTCTGTTTTACATTTATCGTGTAAGTTAAGACTGAGAATGCAAAAAATGTAATTTTATGCGATAAATTTACGTGCGATAAGTTTTCGCTGCGATGAATTGACGGTACGATTAGTTATCGTACGCGACCAATTGTCGTAGATTGGTGATCACTTTAAAATTTGTGCGTGGAAAGAGTAGATATGTTGCGCTATTACCTAATTCGATAATGATGAGTGTTCGGATGAGAGGACCATCACAGTCAAAGTCCAATATAAAATTATGTACACAATAAATGGCAAGGCATACCGGAAGTTTCATTCCTGTGCACAGTAGGTAGCTCCGTAAGAAATACCTGGAAAGTGATTATTTAAAATGTGGACGCATGAGAAAATACACAATGACATTTACGGGAGAAGCAGGACTTACGTAGAACTAGTACATACGTTCGTATAAGTTTTCTCTGCTTTAACAACGAATTTGGAGCAGTTATTTTAAACAAAATATTATACTCTTGTTAATTAGCAGTATTGTCTTTGTTTGTCAACTTAGGAGTTAATATTTGAACAGAAAAGCGCCTAGTTTTAATTTACCTTTCTTTTAGAAGTGAAAATTTTCAAACGAGATCTCTAAGAGAATGTTGTAAAATTAAATCACAGTGTAATACCGTCATTTCTTATCATCGAAAACCACTATACAAATAAAAAATTACCAGACAGAATCGACACGCTTCAATGCCTGCGAAATTCTCACCTGTGCTGTGACGTGAGTCGTAATAGCCGCACTGCTGAATGACATGATTGCCTCTAACTCGCAGCTGTTACGTGTTACGTCGCGTTTCACATCCAGCTCATTGCTATAACATTCTGTGTTTCGCTATAAAATTAACAAATAATATTTAAAAATATGTATTTTTTTGCGGATGCTGTAAACAATTAACATTTAAATTTTGTCACATACATGTATCTACTAAAAATTGTCAAAAATATTAAAACAGTGATTTCGTTTTTAATTATTAATTAACTTCTCTTCACGGTCAAAAATTAATTTGAGTCCCAAACTCAAATTCTAAACCTCAACTACTTTTTTTTTCTCCTAGACAAACGTTTACACATAGTGTAATAATGTAACATGTAACGAAAGCAACGAAACGCTATTGGGTAATTGAGGAAATAAAGAACTAAATTAACTAGAAGTTTAGTAATTTTAAGTGATGCGGAAAATCTTTTGCTTTACGCAGGCTTACGGAATAAACAAATTATATTTCGAAGTAAGAACAATTTTAAATTAACATGGTTCACTGTGTTTTGATTGTTGTGAGCCTCGGCTACAACAAAGGGTTCTTTCAATTTATCAGAAGACACTTTTATTCACCAGGTAATTTTACTCACGTGGGGAAGTTTACTAATTTAAACCAGATCTTTTCACTTAAATACTTCTTTATTCAAGCCAGATCTACAAGCTCTTGATTATGTCGCGATTACAAATCCTACCACTGCACTGTTAATGATTATCCACGTTTAATATTAATAATAATAATCTCTGCGTTCACACTACTAACACTTTTATGATAGTTTTAAAGAAAGAAAGCACAATACTTGACTTGATCTCTGACAACAGTCACATGAGTTACGACGAATTACTAGCTATCAAATATAAATATACTGAATACAAACATTAAATACAAACAGTGGAAACTTGTGAACTCGACTCATTAACTTTTGAGATTATAACTTAACAATAAAAGACTGATTATTACAAAGGTAAGCAAAAAATGAGGGTCCGTAACATGATTTTTTGTCATAACTGTCCAAATAAAAAAAAAAAACTAAATCAGATATTTTCTCAGGTATGTTACATATTTATCAGTTGCAGTGACGCAGTTGATTTTGTTGTTGTTCTGGTAACCATAATTTCTATTGTAGTTAGTAATCAAACTTTAGACACAAAACTATACATCTGTTCCAGTTTTCGTATAATTATCGTATATTTTCGTAGATTTTGAAAAAGTAAATTAAACTTTAACCCTGTTTTTTTACCACTAGGTATCAGACATGATAATCAAAAGCAAGTGTCTAGTCACATAGTTTGCAAGATTAGCGACAATCACCATCGATTTCTGAAAGGTAAGTTTACATCCACTAATCTATGTGAATACATCCAATAACTTTGAAATGCTTTAACTTCTAAGAAAGAAGTTGATATTATTTATAAATATTTAAATAAAGCACTTATTGATTGTGGTCAATCATACGATCCTTCTTGATAAGTTAGGAGATTTTGGTTTATGTAACAACTTGATAAATTTACTTAGGTCTTTATTGCTTAATCGCAAACAAGTTGTTGAATATCGTGGTCATAGTTTACCCACTTACTTAACTAATAATGGTGTAACGGGTGTTTCCAATTTAGCACCTATTCTGTTTATGATGTATTTTAATAATGTTTTTCTGGAATTTTGTTGCCCTGTTTTCGTTTATGTTCATGATTTAAAGGGTTGTACTTGTAAGTATAAGCCATGGAACCTCGCGGCCTATTCGCGCTAATATAATAACTGCCAGCATTTGAAGACGTTTGTAATTTTTTATAAGCTGATTTAGACAACTTTAGATTGTGGTGTGGAGAAAAAATATACAGAATTTGATGCAAGTTAATCACTTCTTTAATGTTTTCAACTATAGAATATCAGTATAACTTAAATGGCGATGAAATTAATAGATTTGTCCTTCATAGTGTTGGCGTAGTGTAGCGACTCCTACTCGGGGTTTGAGTAAAAAAAAAGTCTCAATGGCGGGACTCCAGAACAACCTCGAAGGCGACGTTCGCGAATTCTCTAGAAAAATGCCTCGCGGAACGACAAGTGGAGTCCAGTGAATGGAATCTAGTCAAAGCCATTCCAGTCGAGTCGAAATTATTCTATATAATCATCGTGTAAATTAGTATTACTGAGAAATAAACTGTTGAGTTTTACCCACGCCCATTTTAATTTATTTTAATTACTGTACCTAGGATACCTATATGTATATACTTTCTCAGACCCTCCGAGATTTGTGAAAATTCCATTCTGACTAGTTAATATAATCAATCACACAACAAATCAGTTATTAGTCGCTTTTGAAAATATTTTATGTAATGCTCCTGACTACTGCAGAACGGTCTTTACGAAATTGCCCTAGAAATACTTATTTATCAACATTTTCAAACTCTCAGAAGTAAACATAATTGAATAGATAAATACTTAATAATAGTTTATTAAAAAATATTTGTTATTTAAAAGTGATATTTTGTTGCATAAAGTTCGTTGTTACGAATGAATTCTTCGTTTATTGTGGAACATAACATCTAATGGCAGAAGGTAAATGTTTTCAAGAAGCATCATTACACTGCTAACAAAACTCTTCACCCAACATGCATATATTACGATGTCACAAGGCAAATATTTGCTTTAATAGTAACAACGTAGGTAGCGCAGTGTTTGTGTAACCGTCCACTACCACACGTGTATTTTACCTCGTAGCTGTCATTGATTACGTTAATTACGGGATCATTATGTCCAAACTCTCGAATATCAAGATCACCCAAAAAAATAATATTTGTTCTCCAAACTACATCTTATTCACTTCTTTTTAACCTCCCAACTCTTGATTAATATTTCAACTTGAGCTCTTCGACTCTTCGACAATGACAAAACATGTTTCGTTGGCAGTAATTTCTCACTTACCGCAGTGCTTGAAGCTCAAACGAGATTCTTTGAAATATTTCTACTTTGTCGTGTAAGCATGTGTGTGTGAGCACACCTACAGAACAGGGTGTTATAGAGGGCGCGCATGTCAACGGGGCCGTCTAGCCTACAGGATCGCAGTTATCCTGCCGTCGCGACGCCGGACGTCTCGTTACGCTTCGATGTTGCCGTCATGCTGAAACGTTCCGATATATACAGAGTGACCCAAGTATGACATTGGCGTTTTTGTAGAATTATTCGGCAAGTTCGAATAGGTTTTTGTGAGCGTGTAAAAGATGTGAAAAGTTATTAAAACTTGTTATTAGCAAAGTGGATTCTGTACTTTTTAAAATGTCTGCTCTCTCTTACTTGCTTCTAGCTCTTCTTCTCGTACACACTTCAGGTAAAGTTATAAAAAAATTTTCACTGTGGTAGCACGACCTCTGTTTTGAGACGTTTTCTGTCATTCAGACAAGGACATAAACTTTGCGCGTTATTTAAATTAACGGTTTAACTATTATCATATGCGTTGAAATCTTTGGAAATAGTGAATTTGGAATTGGTTATGCGATTCTAATATTGATGTGAATAATGTTTGCAGCTTGTTAGTAAATGTTATGTAAATAATAATTGTCGACGTCATACGGTTATTAGGCTGTAGCGTGATCGGAATGTAAAAGTATCTGTTATTGCCATAAACTATTTGGGTAACCACTTTTGTGGCAATTATTGTTACAATTAATTTCTTTGTATAGGTAAATACCTATACATATAAAACACTTGTTCAAAAATTCGAAATAAATATTTAAATAGTTGTGAACCAACCATTACATTTTCAGAAAGGAAGTGTAATGGTTTTTATGATTGCGGCAGCTTGCAAAATTAAAAAAAATATATATATTTTTGCGTGTAAAGAAAACAGAGGATTTAATACTATATAACATAGATAAACATAAAAGGTAATATAAGGAGTAGAGCAAAAATGATTTTATTTGTTGTTACGTAATTGCCAGATTATCTTCGTAGTATGGTTTTACTTTCGAATTGTGCACTAATAAAATTATTTTCATATGAATATTGTATCGTTTTTCATATGATTTTATAAGTAAATACATACAAGCAAATAGATATTCTATCATAATTATACACAAACGGAAATTGTCTAATTAGGGTGTAATTATTTGTTCCAATATTTTTAATCTATGACTGAATATTAAGTTTTATTTAGTTTTCGTTTAACTGGGATAGACTCCTTAAAATAATTTTCAGAATAATTGACTCGCAAATGTGAATAACCACTAAAAGAAAAGCATAAAATTCAAGTAATGTGGGTAGTGTGTGCTCTTTTATAAAACTGGTGTTTAAAAATAACTCAATAGAAATAATTTTAACACAAATAACACACTGCGCAGACTGCACATAAGTATACAGATATGACGAAAAACAACTACAGACATGTTGTTCGCAGTGTTAGAGTGGTTATTTGTTGTATTAGAATTATAGAGTAGGTTGCATAAACTGTCTATTTACAAATAAATAGTTTGTATTACGTCAAATTATCAAACTATGTATATATTGTGTTTGACAGAAAGAATTCCAGGCTCATAGATGTAAAAACTTGTGGTAAAAATTAAATTAATTTTTTTGTTAAGACGGTTGTAATGAATTTTTTCTACTCCCACATAGTAATCCATGAATTACGAACTGTCTAGCCTCATAGTAAAACCATAGTTACACCCACTGGCATGTAATGAATGAACAGGCACGTAATATATATATATTACGTGCCTGTTTGGGTAGTTTCCATAGCAACTATAAATATTTGCTTTCCCAAAAAAAATTCTTCTGAAAGTGATTCTTCATTATAGATCGTAGAAAAAGTATATGACACAACTCTGGTGGTAAGCTAATTACGAACTCATATTACATCACTCGCTCGCTACGCTCGCTCGTGTGTAAACTTCGTTCGTAATTAGCTTCTTACCACCCTCGATATGTAATATACTATATTAACATAATTGTTTGCGTAAACAAATGGAGTTACATCATGGCAAAATTTTGGTCAGCAATTTTGACAGTTTTTGCAACTTTTGTTTCTGTACAGAAGTATTTAACTTTAAAAATTAAATTTAAACAATAATTTTTCAAAATTGGTTCGTAGTATATTCAAAACGATTTAAATTGACTACACATAATTTTTTACTTAAATAAGACAAGCAGGGGCCGCGGCTTTTTCTGTTGAGCGCAAAGTATATTGAGACAAAAATGTATATTATTTTATGCTGTTATAATTCGTTGAAATGGTCGGTTTATTGCCATTAAACCTACTGATAAAAATGTTATACTTAATTTACAAGTTTAATGAGAAGTGGAGTATCTATTTTCAACTAGAATTTAGTCTAACTGGGCCTGCTTAAGTAGCAATAGATCTTGCAGGTAATTCAACTAATTTGTAAAATAATTACTCAAATCTTCTAGATAATTTTATTATCAAATTTTGAAATGTAGCTCTCAGAAATTATTATTGTAAACTCATTATTAGTAGACTTTGTTAAGCATGTATCATAATGACATCATAACACTGCATGTTTTTTCAGTGTATTTCTTACATAAACAACAAAATAATATATAAAAACTATTTCACGCTAATTTGTGACAATAGTTACAATATCCATTACGACTATAAAGAAGCATGAGGAATTTACCTAATCCAAAGTTCCCTTGGCTGTAAAAAATTTTTGAGATTCACAAAAAATACGGCTCTCGCCATTTTAATCAGCGTTTTTGATTCTCTGTGTTCTAAAATCTCGTACGTTACTTTGAAAAATGTTTCCTAATTTGCGGCAAATTCTCAACTTCATTATTCAGATGATAGTATATAAATAATAATTTTAATAATAGCACTAGCATGTAGCAAATGCCCTTCTATGGAGTAATTTTAAAATACAGCCTATTTATCATCGACAACAGTTAATCAATGTATAAATTTAGCTTTCAACTTTTATATTGCTAAAGTATTGGTGTTTTCACCTAAATACAAACACATGTCGATAAGAATTTAGTTAGAGTATAATGATACTAATCTGTCTATATTAAGTATCTTCACCAAACTAATACTTCTTATAAAAAACAGTCACAGTAAACAGGAAAATTTGAAGTGGCTGACTTTTAATTCAAAAACAAGTTTATACACAAATATTTTATTGAACAAATTAAAAATGGGTCACCCGATTTTCTCGAAAATGTCAGAATATGCACGTTTTTACTTAATAATGTTTAAATAAGAATAATAATAATAACAATATTCAGAACATTTAGTTCCAGTTTACTTAATTATTAATTTTAGTCCTCTGTTTTGATGCGACAATCTTGTTCAAATCAAACTAATTTCTACGTGACATGCTTCCGATGTATAAATATAACTTTTTAAATTATTTTTATTGAGCCTAAGCTAAGAAATTGTAGTAAAGGAGCTCATTGGGCGACTTGGTACTTTCATATTGTCTCGAAGTTTCATAACCCCTAGACAGGGCCGCACCTAGGAGTAGGCCAGGGATGCTGAATCTCCTCTACGCCTAGACAAGTTATAATTAACCAGATGTAATTACAACATCGAAAATCAAAATAAAATGCAAAATTTTATTTAATACGCTGAAGTCGAAACAATAAAAATTCTGCATCAGCGGCATTGTGATCGGTTTATAACAATTTGTAGAAAATGTCTTTAAGTTCAGTTTTTCTGTTTCACAAATGATTTTCAGTTTTATTGATCATAAATCAATATTCACTCCATTTTCCCGAAAGTTTGGGGATAGAATAATTTTATTATTAGTACTACACTGCATCTATCCAAATTGATACACGTGTTTTTGCAAAAATGTTGGTGATGTCATCTCAAAATTTTGTAATGGAAAAACTCACTTGCAACAAACGCGTAGCATGTTTCTTTACCTTTACATGAACATTATATACATATGTTTATTTTAACTTATATTGGTTGCCATAAATAAAAAAAATCCCAAAATCAAATATTTTAATTTTTCGAAACAGCTGCATTTGGTTACTGCATTTTATGGGCGAGGGAAGAAGACCAATTTTTTTAAAGAAGGAATTATCTAATATGAAAAGCATCATCTATGATGTCTATTAATACTACCGTCTAGCTAATTTCGATTAAATCTCAATTAAAAACGTTTTTGTAATCAAACAATTTTGAATTCGTCACACGTTACAGTATAACAAAATAACACATATTTATACGAAAACTGAAAAAACCAAAAATGCACTTGCGGTATAAAGTTTTTGTAGAGACCGTGTGTGGCTATTAATTAAAGAGCAATTTCATGCAAAAAATATTTCAGATAATTGAATCATAAAATTTGTCAACACATCCCTGTCCATTTGAGGCAACAAACAGAAATCAAAAATCTGAAACGATATAAAATTTTCTTTATTTATTTCAACCCAATTTTATAACGTCATAAAAATGTTATAACTCTATCCGAGAAACTGAAATATTAGTTTCTGGTTCCATAAACAAGTTTAATGCACTTCCAGAGTTGGCGCAAAATTTGTGGTAATTTTCCACATGATTATTGAAAACCCATGAATTATAACAATGAGCAATACATTAACAGCGGTTGCAATTAATTGCTATTTGTTTATGAGGTAACAAAACATCTGATACTTCAGCTGATTTATTGGTAATAATAAATATAGATTCCCATGCTCACATAAGGACTAACTATATCAGATCATCTTTAGTTTCCCAAAGCATCATGCGCCACTTCTAGAAGAGTTAACGCTTCTCCCCGTTCTCGTCATACAGTTAATGTATGTAATCTCCTATTAATTTACGCAACAACATCCTAAAGATTTTAACTAGAAATAAACAAGTGAAATTTATTTCTTGAAAGCAAAAGTACAAAGTTGAACCCTTTATTAAGCTCAGATGTTCCGAATGTTCTTCCGACAGCAAATGTAAGCAACTGAGATAAGATTTCTTTTTATATTTCATTTAAATTCAGGCCTTTTTAAAAATATTTTAATCGTGCACAGAAGAACCTGTTTACACTTTATTGTCTTAAGACTTTAATGTTGATGGGAGTTTTTTCATGTTATCCAAGAGCTTTTACCTTCTGACAATTTTATCTGCTAAAAACGTGAATAATTAAATTGCGATTCGCTTAAAAAACTTGAATTTACATTTTAAATATGTGCTTTGAGAAAGCTGCTGCATATTAAAGGGCAATTATTACTTTTTAATTAGGAGTGCGCCAGATGATTTAAGATGGAGCTCACCTTTATTAATGTGCGAAGCAGCAGGTTGTTGGATTATTTTTTTACTTAGAAAGCTACGTTACGACCTATAAAGCATAAATAAAGCAAATTAAAAAGTGTACT